CGGAAAGTACACAGATTCAGTTCAGTCTATTTTTATGTATGCAACTTTGAATTGCGAGCAGAGGGTAATAATAATAACTTTTTATTCATGTCAGTCTCGCGGATATGAAACGTCAAAATACATTGAATACAATGAAACTAAGTTACGACAAAATCGATACAAAGTCATTAACAGAATAATAGCATTTTTCTACCAAAAATGCTTGCACACGTTTAAAATTATAAACAAATTGCCCATTTTATCCACAGGATATAGTCACATTATCAAACTAACAATACGGCCAAACATAAATACCCTCATTAACTGCAAATCACACACTTTTATATTGTAACCAGTCCAAACTCAATACAAGGCAGTCCTTTCGTCTAAATACGCCTTTTCGAATAAGCTATGCTACTTATGCTACACCAAGATCGTAAGACACATTTAAATGGAGTCTCAGTAAACGCAATTCCTAAATAATATAAGCATTCGTAGTCCTTATGTGACCAATATCTTAATTGCTACCCTTGGAATGCAGGAATTATGATCTCTCGATTCTGTAATTGGAGCGAAAAAATATAATAACAGTACCTCATAGGCTTTCAGGAACCATCGACAACGTAAAGATTTATTATCTTTTTGTAACTATCTTAAACTTTAAAAGGCGGAACTGGCGGTTCGTGATCCGGACTTATTTTCATTTCTACTAGTGTCGAGTAGATGCATTCCAGGTATGTATGTTTCAATAATTTTGGTTCAAGTGTGATGATGTATCGAGAGTAGTTGAGACTTATTTTATAATTTATGCCTTTTCTAAATTTACTTACTTTATTCTGAGCAGTTTTATTACTAATATCATGATCTAAATCTCCGATCGCCTTTTATCATCATCTTAGTTGAAGATAAAAATACAGGGTTACCCAAATTAAGTGTCCACCATTAGTAACTTTGTTATTAGTGAAAATACAAAGTTGTTTGAATTAGCAAACTAGTAGCATTTTTAACGCTGGTAAAAATGAGAAATAAAAAAAAAACAATTGAGAGTCGTTATTTTGATTTTTTTCAGTAAAATAACATTTTTTTAAATGGAAACCCCTGTATATTATATTTTTTTCTGTTAAAGCATCGAATTTAAAACAAAAAAGTTCATAATGACTTTTCCGCTAAAGTCAAAATAAGGTCAAAATAACGATAAATATTTTTAATTATTTGCAGTATTATAATATTAAGACGGCTATGAAAACAACATGGCGTTCGCGATTTGACAGCATTAAGATAAGCGACAAATTGTTAAACTGGACATACTCGCAACTAGAAGGCTTTGGAAAACAATGATAAAATCAAATAATGTCAAACATTAGTGTAAATACTTGTTTATAAGCTTTATTGTGTCATTAATTTAAAGAAAAATGTTCTCCCATGAAGAAAAGTGTGATATGTTAGAATGCTATTTAGTGTGCAGAAAATCCTCCTTGAGAGCAAGAGAATACTACAGTGAATTATATCCCGCTCGCATTCAACCGTATGAACGATATTTTCTGAGACTTTATCGAAAATTTAGGGGCAACGAAAATGTTTTTGCTAAAACAAGGGCAAAAAAAGAATTCATAATAAGCGAGGCCACGGAAATTGCAGTTATTGGATATTTTGAAGCTTATCGTGAGAATTCAATAGCAGATATTCTCAAGGACTCTAATTTCAGTTATGGTACTGTTCAAAGGATTTTAAAAAAATACAAATTTATTCCGTATAAGTACCGACCAGTTCAAACGCTTTTGGCAGGGGATCCAGAGAGAAGACTTGTTTTTTGCCATTGGTATCTTAGCTTCTGTCGCCAAAATGTAAATAACTTTCGTTACCTTTTATGGACAGATGAATCAAATTTTTCAAATTCTGGAATGTTTAATAGAAAAAACCACCATTATTGGTCAAGAGAAAATCTTTTGTTAGTACATCCAAGAGGCCCACAAGTCCGTTTCAGTTTCAACGTTTGGTGCGGTATAATTGGTTCAAAAATTGTTGGCCCGTTCTTTTATGAGGGAACCCTAACTGGTGAAAGATATGTGGAATTTATGTCAGAAATTCTGACTAATTTCTTAGACGAATTGGATCTTATAAGTAGACATCATCTGCATTTTCAGCAAGATGGCGCACCTGCCCACAACTCCAGAGGTACTTATCATTTTCTAAGTACTACTTTTAATGATCAGTGGATAGGAACAAATGGCCCAATACAGTGGCCTCCCAGATCACCAGATCTAAACCCACTTGATTACTTCTTGTGGGGTTACTTAAAGAACCAAATTTACAAGCGAAGGTACGATAACCTTGACGCGTTAAAGACTGCAGTTAGGGAAAAGATAACCCAGATAGATGGTAGGACCATACTTAAGACAGTTCGAGCAGTTGAAAAACGTGCCCAAAAATGTATTGAAGAACAAGGTGGTGTTTTCGAGCATCTTCTTTAAAAAAAATTGTTATTGTATTTTGTAAGATTATAAGTTGATGTTGAAAATAAAGTTTGTCGATACAATTTAATTGTTTCAGATTGGAGGCCATAACTTCAACAATTTGTAACCTAGGAGAAAAGTTATTGTAAGCTTTTTTGTTTAAAATTTGATGCTTTAGCAGAAAAAAATATAATATACAGGGGTTTCCATTTAAAAAAATGTTATTTTACTGAAAAAAATCAAAATAACGACTCTCAATTGTTTTTTTTTATTTCTCATTTTTACCAGCGTTAAAAATGCTACTAGTTTGCTAATTCAAACAACTTTGTATTTTCACTAATAATAAAGTTACTAATGGTGGACACTTAATTTGGATAACCCTGTATATGGCTTTGTGAGTGTGTTCTATATGAATTAATGCCGAGGTTGATAGTTTTAAGTAATCATGAATTTAATACACGCCAGGGTTTAATTTCATTGTTTAACGAGTAACATAACAGAAATCAAACCATGCCTTCGATATATCCTTGCAAGTGCTTACTCCTTTTTATGAGAGTACTTATTTGACTGCTCCCTCTCTCTATACATAAATATCATTACGGGTTTATCTTTCCGTGCGACGGAATCTTGCAATATGTTGTACAAAAGATAAGAAAGTTAGATATAGACTTTCCAATAAATAGGAAAATGAAAATCCCAAAGTCCCCTATTACAATATGTATATACTCATACATTTCATGCCCAATAATTGTAAACGTCATGTATTTCTAAATATGTACACATTGCAGTCACACAAATGGAAAAACGTGATCTGAATTCTGCTTCAATGAGGAATAGGCACCCGGTATTTAGGGTAGTGATAGTGACAAGGATATACCTATATGTCCATCTGCATAATTTTTAATCTGTATCTAAGTCTAATATCCTCCTGGGTCGCGTCTATATTTATGCTTTCCCAGATCAAACCAACCATATTGTCTTGTTCATCTTACAATAATTTGACGATCATATTTTCCAATTTTACGCTGAAAAGAAACTGGATAAAAAAAACAAGAACGAACATAAAGTGATCCATTCAATTCTAAGCTATATGGCATATGCGTTCATTCAACATCACCATAAGGTCGTTCCATTCAACCGAAGATCTGCTTAGCACATCAGCGGAATCTCCCGAGATCCCGCATTGCACACCAGCAGAGATTCAAGATCATATTAAAGACCTTAAAGTGCGTAAAGCACCTTGGGAGGATCAAATCACTAATAAGGCACTGAAGCTGCTTTCGCGGAAGTCCTTAACTTATCTCGTGGCAATAGTCAATGCCATGCTAAGGACCCAGTACTTCCCATCCGCGTGGAAGACCGCTGAAGTTATTATGATTCCAAAGAAGGTGGGTTCGATATTTCCCCAGGATTATCGTCCCATTAGCCTGCTGTCAGCTCTGTCTAAGCTCGCTGAAAGCGTGAACCATATGATTCCTGACGTGCAATTCAGTTTTCGGTCTGAGCATAGTACGGAGCTACAGGCGGTTAGGCTGGAGGAACGAGTAACCAGAGGATTCACCCTTAACGAAAGTACTGGCATCTTGCTTTTGGATGTATCAAAAGCATTTGACAAGGTGTGGCGTCCTGTATAAACTAATCCAAAAGGGCTTCCCTTTTTGGCTTCTAAAACTACTGAAATCCTTCCTTGAAGGTAGGAAATTTCGGATCAAAATTGACAATGTCCTGTCTACAACACGGCTGATTACAGCCGGAGTCCCTCAGGGTTCGGTCCTTGGAGTAAGTTCGCCAGCACAAAAGACCGCGGCTCGCACTGTAATCAAAATTAATTCGTGAACTTAGAACATCCAAAATTGGAGCATTTTGACAAAATCTCTAGAAAAAATCGAATATTTTTAGACCATATCAAAATCTGTGAAGTGATTTTAACAATGCCTGAACGCTGCCTATCCTAAAAGATTATCTTCTTCCCCTTTGCTCTCATTCTTCCGTCTCTCCTTTCCTTCCCTTTTTTCCTTAAAATTGTCTGGTTTCTGGGTTTTCAGACCTAACAGACTTACAAACTGACACTGTGACTTAAGAGCTAAGGTCCCTTGGACCGCTCTGACAACCAACAATGACTTGACTTGACGTCGTTCCAATTTGAAACTCTTGACAGCGTATGTGTCTAAGGCCCGTATCGTCAGTCGACCCTGCAATTGTAGGGCGCGTTTATAGCCTCCTTGATTGTCATACTCCTTTCTCTCCTTCAAAAATTTCTAGATTACACTCGTCCCGTGTCAGCGTCAGCTCTGCTAATGTGAAGATTTGTTTTCCTTTTAAATTGTAGGAAATTTCAGGCTGATAAAACATGATATAACTCAAAACCAAGCACAATTTGATGCAAATTGACGTTTGTGACATAACCTCAAAATAGAGCGCTGACACGGAGAAGTAGAAAACTATGACAATCAAGGAGGCCATAAAAGCGCCCTACAATTGTAGGGACGACTGACGATACGGGCCTAAATCAAGGCAATGTGTATAATGCAGAAAACAAACTTACTGAAATCATCCCTTCTGTTCCAGATGCACCTCCAGTATTGCTGTACAGTTTCATTGAGCAAACATTACAGCCTGGTCCAGCGGTTTCACTTAAGTGCAGTGCTTCGGGAAACCCAACACCACAAATCTCGTGGACACTGGATGGATTTCCTTTACCTAGTCATGGAAGGTAAGCCTTGATTTTCTTATTTTAGTCTAATTGTATAGTTCAAATGTTACTAAATATGGGTAATATCATGAAGAGCTGCCTGAAATTGAGACAACGGTGTGAACTTTTTGGAGCCCAGCTATTGAAAACCAATCGGTTCGTGGTCTTGTTGAATTTTTTTCATATGTTTGGTTATGTCAAAATTGTAAAACATGACATTCCAACGGTGCTATTTAAGTGAAGCTTCAAGTTTCTGGATCTACATTGTGCTGCTTTTTTGAGATTTTGTACATCTGACAGATACCAGAGTGGAAAGATATCTATAATCTATATAGGACTCCTACAAACTAGCTGAAGTGAAGAACTCTTGCACTTTCTATTACTATTCTCCTGACCTTACTAGGTGGATATAGGTATGCGTTACATAAACCTCCAGGAAAACAATCCGAAATTAACACACAACCCTCTTCGCTAACGGGAGAGTTTATGGCGTGAAGATCGATATCGAGATAAACATTTATTAACCATTAGTCTGCGGATTTACGTCCTCCTTCAAAGTTATTGACACGCTATCCCAACCTGTCTCGTCTCGATATTATAGACAGGTTTGGATAGAGCCCATAGAGCAAACTATGTATTAAGATGTCACGTTTGAAGATTTCCTTTTTTTATAGAACAAATTTGGTCAATGTTGATATCTGCAACTTTTTACGTTATACCTAATTTTAATCATCTACGAGTATACCGATAGGGCAATATATCCGACTTGATAGTAAACCTTGCAAGCTCATACTCTCTACGATATTGGCGAGGAAGTATTGTAATCGTGAAACATGTATGAGAGATGTTTCTTGGATGTTATATGACATGTACATCACGAAAAACCATATCACTAATTTCCATCGGTCTGTCCGCTAATCCTTGGCCCGTCTATAATTAGGAAAGAACTGCTCAGATTTTGATAAGGTTTTCACATAAGGTTATCACTATGTCAAAGATGAAAAAGCTTTATAGCTTTTGGAAATCGGTTCAGAGGTGACGAAGCTAAGGGAAAAAATGAATAAGTAAAAATCGCCCAAACTTCATTTTTCCACGATTCAGTTGCAACTGATGCTCAGAATAATTTTTGTATAAGTTAAAAATTGTGGGTTGGGGGTTGTTGAGGGTGGAGAGTGGTATATACTAATTTTATCATGTAAGTATATTACTATTATACTTTAGACGTATATTTGCCCTTAAGCCAAACGAATAAAAATGATTTCGATAGCCGCATCGAGAAATTTTTATATCTACTGTCGACTATTAGTTTTAGTCGTATCCAGCGTCGCCGACCCCATCCGACAGAAAAACTGTATATGGGCTTGAAAAAAACTGTAGATAACTGTAGAGTATTATTAAAAAAACTGTAAATCTACAGCCTCCACTTACAGTATTTTTCACGATTATCTGTCGCGGAGCATAGTCAAAAAGTGACAGTTTTACATTGCTCAAGCAAATTCTTTTTGGACGGTTGTGGTTCTGGTTGGCCTTAGTGACATAAAAAGGACAGAGCTTCCATTCAGTTTTTTATAAAATCACTCAAGGCCAACTAGAACCACAACCGCGCAAAAAGAATTTGTTTTTTGCATGCATGATCAGCTGTCATTTTTTTAAATTGTTCCGCGATAGATACTCGTGAAAAATAATACAGGGTGTTTCAGTTTATTGTTGCATAACTTTAAGATTCGATAGAACTTTTAAAATGAATGCATAAAGTCTATATAAACATGGGTCGAAAAATACGTGGCTTCCGAAATACAGGGTGTTTAAATTTGCTTTCTAAAATAGTTTTTTTTTTAAATATTTCGAACAATATTTGATGTATAACAGTGAAAATTGGTATACAAGGGTTTCTTGGTACGAAAAAACGAACCATGGGCATAGTTTTACTGTAACCGCTAGAGGGCGCTCTCTACTGTACCTGTCGTGTATTAAAATGACCGAACATTTTTTCTTAGTGCAATTCTTGGTTTTTTGGATAAAAAAACTGATTCTTCGCACTTTTCAACATAAAAAAGCTCTCTTGTGAGTTTTCGTTATAGTTAGCCGTTTTTGAGATATTTCGATTTTTAAGGTTCGATGCATTTTTAATTATTTATGGGAAAATATTATTTTTTTTACATTTTCGATTTGGGCCTTACAAGTAATTAAGATGATCGTTTAGATTGTGTTTTTAAACACAGCAATAATTCCTAACTCCAAATAAACACAAAAAACAGAATATTAATTTGTTTAGTTTTCCAATATTATTTTTAACAAATTAAATTAATTATTCACAACTAAAATGCTATTGGATAGTTAGGACAAACATACAAAATCTAAAGTAGTTGCTCGAAATGTAAACCCAATTGTTTAATACACAATTCACATCTACGAATGATCGAACGTGGTATAGCATTATTCAAATAAGGCCTTATTTCATCACATGCATTCCTGATTCTGTCTATTAGCATATCTCTTGTGGTTACGGGAGTCTGGTACACTTTTTATTTTAGAAATCCCCACACAAAGAAATCTAATGGATTTAGGTCAGGGGATCGTGGAGGCCAGGCGAGTGGTCCTCCACGGTCGATCCATCTTTCTGGATAATTTTCGTCCAGCCAGTTTCTAACTATCCTCGAATAATGAGCTGGACAACCATCAAGCTGGAACCAGGCCAATCTTCTTAAATCTAACATAACATCATCCCACATATTTGCATGTTCAGCGTTTAAAAATTTCAAGAAGGTCGCAGCATTTAACCTTGCAGGCAAAAGGTAGGGTCCAAATAGTCGATTACGGTAGATACCAATCCACACGTTCACACTAAATTCATGCTGAACATTTCTTTCCCGAACTGCATGCGGATTTCCATGCTACCAAATATGTTGATTATGAAAATTTACCACTCCACGTCTAGTGAACCATGACTCATCGGTCCATAATACGTTACTTAAAAATTCCCTATTATTATCAGTTCTATCAAGAATCCACTGACAAAATGTGATTCTTCGTTCTCCGTCCCCTGGCTGTAGTTCTTGTACAGGTTGCAAATGGTGAGGACGTCTATGGTCATTTCTAAGAACACGGTGAACATGGCTTGCTGAAATTCCCAAGGCACCAGAAACTCTCCTAACACTTGTGGTCGGATCTCTATCAAACTCACGCAGAATCATATGGGTAAATCTGCGCTGACGAACATTTATGTTTTGATCCCTTTGGAGATTTCCAAAACCATTTTCATTTATTTACAAATACTGAGCGAGTTGGATGTCGTCTGTTTGGAAATCTTCGTGCGTACTCTCTGGCTGCTTCTGCTGCGTTTCCATTTACAAAGCCATACACAAAATGAATATCCGCTAATTCTTGATTGGAGAATAAAGATGGCATTTTTATAAAACTTACAAAAAAAAAAACAGGTAAAAGAAACTAAATTTCGTGCATTCACAATTGCAAAAAAACGTTTCAGGTTCCAACAGACAACAAAACTAACTGTCAACTAATTGACGTTTAACCTTATTCTGCTTTCAATTTCAAGAATATTTACAGGCACAGCTAAAGATTATCGAGATACTAACTTTTTAACGTAATTTTATCATAAATAATTAAAAATGCATCGAACCTTAAAAATCGAAATATCTCAAAAACGAAAATTCACAAGAAAGCTTTTTTATGTTGAAAAGTTCGAAGAATCAGTTTTTTTATTCAAAAAGCAAAAAATTGCACTAAGAAAAATTTTTCGGTCATTTTAATACACTACAGGTACAGTAGAGAGGGCCCTCTAGCGGCTACAGTAAAACTATGCCCATGGTTCGTTTTGTCGTACCAAATAACCCTTGTATACCAATCTTCACTGTTATACATCAAATATTGTTCGAAATATTTAAAATAACTTTATGCATTAATTTTAAAAGTTCTATCGAATCTTAAAGTTATGCAATAATAAACTGAAACACCCTGTATATTGCTTACGAATAGAATTCTGACTTGAATCAAGTTCTTTACGCAGCGGTTCTGATTTTACTTGACCTTGAGTGACATATAAATGACAAAATTTGAATTGAATTCTTATACATAATAATTATATTAGATATGATTTTGCTTTGAGTAGTTGATTACTGCTCCTCTACCTCATTGTCTATTTGCAAATCTATCAGATTACGTATAATTCGATCTGACAAGTGGTAGATTTTACTAAGACCGAGTTATTGTATGGACTACCGACTTCGTACTAAACAAAACAGATGGCGCGAGCATCCTATGCAAAAAAACTGTAGATTTGAAGGCTCGAACTGAAGATTTTTGTAAAACTGTAAATCAGTTAAAACTGTAGGCCTGGCAACACTGGTCGTATCGTTCATCGGGTTTACTCTTCATCAACGTTGCCTTTGCTTGTCAAATGGCTGGAAACTGCGGGCGAATTTGTATAGGCCTATGACTGACATGACTTATTTCATTCATTCATCGAGAACTGATGATAGCGTTGCGTGGAAAGATCAGAGTCAAAGTGATTGATGCAATTTCTTAGATTCGATACAAAATATGCAATACTGCCCATACTGCAAAATACGGCGTCTTTAAGCCATATACTTTCATAATACAACTTAATACCCCTCTGAAACCAACCAAGTTTACGTTCCAGTTTATGGGAAGTAATAAGATATTATAGGTTATTAACAAGTACACGTTGGTGTGGAATAACATCCCCGAGGCTTCGCATGTTCACGTTTTAGTTCTTGATACATCCTGTTTCAATACACTGTAAAGGTATGGCTGAAATTAGAGCGAGCGCCATTATAGAGAAATTCTGGTCTGCCAGTTTGTATCCCATTTATTTTGAAGATATGTCAAAATACCTTCATCCAAGCAGAGCCTAATAATTGGCTCAAAAATTCAGATGAGCGACACTCTTTCTGCGGCAAAGAAACCTCAAAGCGGCAGCACATCTAACCTTCATTTCTATTGCATTAAAGGTTTGTGATCGGCCAGTATGTAACCGTCCACGGTGACGTCATCAGCCACGTCAACATCAGTCACGTGATGGTAGAAGATGGTGGAGAATATACCTGCACAGCAGAGAATAGAGCTGGGAAGACATCACACTCCGCCAGATTAAACATATATGGTGAGCAAATTTTTTTTTTAATTTTATGCCTTTAAAATTGCATTTTTAGTAATGGGGGATACAAAATACTGAAATGGAAACAAGTTAGGAAGACCAACTTAAATTCTTATTTTTGATTTCTATATGCACTGGGTAAAGCGTTGTGACGAAGGAATCTCCAGTACTGCCCGCCGCCAAAGCGTTAAAGCAGAGTGTTCAGCAATTTCATCGTATGTCGATATTGAGAAAAAAGCTTCGTATATATTGGGTCTAATATAAAAAAAAATTCTGCTAGTCTTTTTTGTATACAAGATGGTGCAGAAAAGTGCTATCAAATAAAGTTACTCGACACCTTTGACAGCCTCTATACCAGGAAGGCTGCACGAAAAAAATTTATATTACCCCTGCTTGCAGAATTTCCGACCGACAAAGTGTCAGCGCTGGATATTACTTTGTGATAATCTATCACAAAACAAAACAAAAGTGTTTCAAAATTGGTAGGTTTAGGTTCTAAACCACGGCGGATCCGCAATGTTGCCACATCTACAGTTTCTCGGAAAGAAGCTTGCGATATTTTTAATGACAAATATCCCAACCGGAATGAAATAACAAGGTCTACTGTTGGAAAAGTTTTGAGGAAATCTAAAATAACAGAACATGTAAAGGATGCTCCACGATCTGGCCGTCCCAAAGCAGCCACTGACGAAAATAAGGCTTTGAATATTTTAGTGAGCATAACGGAAAACCCCCACCTCTCTACTAGGACACTTGGTGAAGATAACAATACATCTCGGATGTCTGTGAAACTTATTTCAAAGACAAAAAAATTCCTTACAGAGTAATCTTAGTTCAAAACATGTGTAATAGAAATAAATATTTTTTGTACGAAATGTTTTCGGATGTGCCAAGTTTTTCTTTGAATGTAACTCTTAATCGCCATAGCTGCCGTTACTCGGCCAGGGAAAATCCTCATTGGGTACAGAAACACCATACAGAATATCCACAAAAAATTAATGTTTGGGGCGGTATCATAGGTCAATTTGGATCTTTTAAGGAATCACGTTATTCCAGCTTTGGCAGAAATATTTCCCATTCCTTCTAAGCAGCTTTTATTACCACAAACAAAAAAATATATTGTTTTCTATTAGTAAATAATAGAGTGCCCAACGATAGAATATGGCTCTAACAAAATGATGCACCTCCGCGTTATGCCCGAAATTTTCTCGAATTTTTTGATCAAGTATTTTTTGCAAGATGGATAGGTAGAACTGATTGAATGGCCACCTCGGTCTCCTGAGCTCACAACCCTCGATTATTTTTTTTGAGGGCACTTAAAAAATGTAGTATAGAAAACCAAACAATTTGGTTTGGAGGAACTGAAACGAACAGAAAATTAAAATGTTCTAAACGCATTTCAGCAATATCTAGCATATATAGCGTATAGGGACAGCAATTTTATCATTTAATATGTTTTTTTTTTGTTTTGAAGCTTGAAGTATCAAGTCTACTAACAATACTCAATGGACTCTTCAATGTCAGAAATGACAGAAAATTATTTGACATACTGGTCATTACTTAGATGAAAAAATACCTTTCATTGTTAATTAGAAAACTATGAGGTTTACGCCAAATTATGATTGATAAAAGTTATTCAGAATTTCTTGCAAAATACAAATATCGAATAAAATGGATAGCATTCCATAAGAAAAACAAAAGTTGCTATCGGTTTCTGAAAAACTGTAGATTTGGCAACGTCGTCGATATCATCAACGGATCCGCCGTGATTTCGAACCTAAGCCTGCCAATTTTTAAAAACATTAAATGAGTCATTCGTTGAATATTTGATGCGCTCCAAACTTTTGTTACAGACTGTATATGAAAATCAACAAAGAATTGATATAATTATATAAATGCTACTAAACGCGCCATTTTTGTCTTTTAAAAAATAAGTTGTCAGGCAGCCCTGAGATTTTGTACAGTAAGCGACTGATTTCGTTACGCACCTACATCGAGAAAACTGACCGCCAAAACATAAACTTTAGGGTGGAATAAATGAACTCCAGACCCGTCATCCAACTTGGCTTGGCTCGACGCAGTTGATGTTCCATTCTAGTTCAGCCAGGCGAACTAATTAGTCGCACACAATTAATTAGAATAATGGTAGTCTGCGGACAGAGCAATCTTGTAACTTTAATTTGTGACTTTGTCTCAATCCCATTCCTCAACAGTCGGTACTTTACGCGCGCTCCTGCGGTTTTGAGCTCACGTCAATTTCTGCTTTGAGCTAGGGCGGGAAGTTATGAGCCAGGTAGCAAAAGCATCAAGAATATATACAGCGTGCGAAAATCTAAATGTTCGCCCATTTTGACCTGCCGAACAAGGTTGGAACTTGCTTTAAGACAAGCTAATTCAAAAATATCTTCTAACCTTGATAGTTGACAGTCTCAAAAATTATAATCTTAAGCAGAATTTTAAGCTTTTGACCGATTTTCACAGTTTTCCAGGCATTAAATCGCATATAGCTCAAAAACTATCAACTTTGGAAAACAGTTACTAAGTGCCATTTTGTTCAGAAGAATTAAAAAGAAATCTGGAAAAAATGGCAGGAGTAAAATAATGGTAAAGTTTGCATAAAAAAATTCTTAAAACAAATTTGATCTGGGTTACCGACATTTTTTCTGCCAATCCGTCTATAATATCTTAGCACCCGTTCAAAAATGATCATTTAATGTCGAAGTATACTGTGACAAAAAAAGGTGAACACCTATGTTACGTATGTTTATCCGATTTTAATAATTTTTGGCATATACGTTCAGTGTCCCTTACTAGTGCAATGATTAAACCTTGAGCTTGATTCGTCAACTGACTGCAGAAGCTGGTTCAATAATGTTGAGGATCCACGGTTTCCTATACACTCATTGACATGCCTGGGCATAGTGCTGATACGGTCGTCGATATCATGTTTTGGTATCTCATTCCAGACTACTGCAACTTCGTGAGTAAAAGCTGCTAAAGCATCGTCTTGCTGAAAAATCGGATTTAGATGGATATAGTGTTTAGATATGGAATAAGATGAGGCTCCACTACTTCCTAAATATAGCGTCGAGCTATCTTATTGCGTCTGAAGAAAATTAGTGGTGATCTGCTATCATAAGCAATATCACCCCATACGATAACTCCCTCGGTGTGGTGAACGTGACGTTCTCTGTCAAATGGTGGGTCACGTTTTTCACCAGCACTGAGACTGATACAGAAGGTATAAAATAGAAATATTTGTTCAATCTTCCTGCGATATTTCATCTTTTGTTAGCAGTAGAATAGCTGCGTAGACAATGTCCAGATTCTCCACATCCGCCTGGAAAAATATTCTGATTCGGTTTTTGCACAATCATATTCATAACGCATCCCTTTTAATGAATCGGCATGTTGCCAGATCCAAAATTGCTTCAAAAATTGTTCAATTATTATTTTTAAACAAATCCCAAAAATAGCTTTTTGCTCCGAACTTTTTGTTATTTTCGGAACCAAAATGTGCTGTAGCACTTTTTAAAGGTATGTTTTTCAGTTGTAAGCATTTTAATGTGTAAAAAAATCTTGAAAATTGGTATTTTCAATGCTCAAAACTCGGTTGAAAATCATAATACAGGGTGCGGCAGAGAGGACGGACGTTTTTGGGATGGGTAGTAGTCTCCGCCTCCGTCTACGAGAGAGGTGGGCAGGGTGCCGTTTGACTCGTGAGATCCTAGCATCATTTTACCAGTTGTCGTTATGGAACCTTGGATGGTGGAGCAGCGCGTTTTCGCCTATGATTGTTTCGTCCGAAATAATGAGTCAGTCATCGTCGTACAGCGTGAGTTTCGTCGCCACTTCAACATTCATCGGAATAGAGTTGTTCCCTCTCGAAACACCATCCTTCGTTGGGTTGAATCACTTCACAGGCGTGGTGAACTGATCAACAGAAGACCAAGAGGATCGCCGCGAACAGTTCGAAGTCCCTGAAAATGTTGAACGCGTTCGACAGGTCTTTCTTCGCAGTCCGACTCGATCTGCCCGGAAACATGCTGCTGCACTTCGCCTTAGTCATTGTTCGGTAAGGCGAATTTTGCATATGGATCTACGCTTTCACCACTACAAATTGGCCATTGTGCAACAGTTACAGCTCGGAGATTATGCACAACGAATGAACTTCGCACGTGAGATGGAAGCACTGATCGATCAAAATTAGAAGCTCATTTTGTCTATGAGTGACGAAGCCCACTTTCACCTAAACAGCATGGTTAACCAGCACAATTGTCGTTATTGGGCTAATGAAAATCCGTAACAGTTACACGAAATACCGCTGCACAGCTCAAAAGTAACAGTTTGATGCGCTGTATCGCAAACTTGCCCTTACTTCTTCGAAGACGGTAATGGTCGTGACGTTACCGTGAACTCAGAGCGCTACGTCGACATGATCACCAACTTCTTTCTCCCTGAATTACGACTGCGACGTGTTCCAATCTGACGTGTGTGGTTCCAGCAGGATGGGGCGATCGCCCACACAGCCCGAGTATCCATGGACGTTATTCGCCCTCTCTTCCCTGGTCATCTTATTTCCAGGTTTGGCGATGTTCATGGGCCTCCTCGGTCCCCAGATTTATCCATATGCGATTTTTTCTTATGGGGACACCATAAAGCTAGATTATACTCGAACAAGCCCCGAACTCTGGACGAATTGAAGGGCGAAATTCGCGTGGAAGTCTCCCAAGTTGAGAGAGCGATGTTGGAGAGAGTCTACGCGAACTTCCAAGAACGCCTCCAGGATTGCATCAACGATTTCGGCCACTACATGCCTGATGTGATTTTCCACACTTGACTGTCTCAAATTCTATTTCCTTGTGAACCTGATTCCATCAATAAATTTGTTTTCGAGTAAAAATTAACTATTTTATGATTTTTTTAAAACCGTCCATCCTCTCTGCCGCACCCTGTACAAATTTGCTGACTTTAAGAAATGAGAGAAATTAGAAAAGATAATCCCT